CAGTGCCGCCGCCCGGAGACCCGCCGCACGCGCTCTGCCCCGCCTACCAGGAGGAGGAGGAGGCGGGCCGCTGCTGGGTCAGTGGCGGGGGCGGGGTCTGCGGATCCGATTAGGACTCGGAGAGAGGCGAGGGGCGGGGCCTGCGGACCTGACTAGGACTCGGAGAGAGGCCGAGGGGGCGAGGGGCGGGGCCTGCGGAACCGACTAGGACTCGGAGAGAGGCCGAGGGGGCGAGGGGCGGGGCCTGCGGAACCGACTAGGACTCGGAGAGAGGCCGAGGGGCCGAGGGGCGGGGCCTGAGGCTGAGCGCCCCTGGGGGCGGAGCCTGGCCCGGGGATTTGGGGAGGGGCCGGAGGCGAGCTCTGGGCTCTGTCGGGCTTTCTCGCTATCAGTTTAAACGGAATCCTAAAGTGAGGATTGACTTCTTATGTAGATTATTAATGGAGCCTGGCTTGGAGGAAGTGGGACTTACGCCCGAGAAGGGGGTAATGTGGAGTCCAGGAAAGCCCTTCGATACCCTCTCAACACACACTCACACACACACACTCACACACACACTCACACACACACTCACACACGCTCACACACACTCACACACACACTCACACACACACGCTCACACACTCACACACGCTCACACACACACGCTCACACACACACTCACACACACACGCTCACACACTCACACACGCTCACACACACACGNGAGAAGGGGGTAATGTGGAGTCCAGGAAAGCCCTTCGATACCCTCTCAACACACACTCACACACACACACTCACACACACACTCACACACACACACACACACACACGCACCCGTTCACACACACACTCACACACATACTCTCACACACTCACACACACTCACACGCACACGCACCCACTCACACTCACGCACACTCACACACANACACGCACACGCACCCGTTCACACACACACTCACACACATACTCTCACACTCACTCACACACACTCACACGCACCCACTCACACTCACGCACACTCACACACACTCTCACACACATGCACGCACACGCACACTCACTCACACACACACACAGTCACACTCACACACGCAGGCGTTGGTAACACGGTCTCTTGCTGCAGAACGACTCCAGTTGGAGCCTTTTGTGCCGGGAGGAGGGGACCTGGTTCCTGGCTGGAACCCGAGGTTTCTCCAGTGGCTGCCTGCGTCCCAGAGCCTTCCACCCTCTTCAGACCCACGGCCCGTGGATCAGCCATGTGACTCGGGGAGCCTACCTGGAGGACCAGCTGACCTGGGACTGGGGCCCTGAGGGGGAGGAGACTGAGACACAGACTTGCCCTCCCCACACAGAGCATGGTGGTGAGGAGGAGGCCTTTGGGGCTTAGTTCTTGGGGGTGCTTAGTTCTTGGGGGTGCTTAGATCTATGGTGGAGGCTTCAGGGGTCAGCTGTGAGACCTTCACTTAGGTGGTCACCTCCTCTCCCTAGCCTGTGGCCTGCGGCCAGAGCCCGCTCCAGTGGGGCTCTTGTGGCCCTGGCTGGCAGAAGTGCATGTGGCCGGTGATCGAGTCTGCACTGGGATCCTCGTGGCCCCAGGCTGGGTCCTGGCAGCCACTCATTGTGTCCTCAGGTGGGTCCACCCATTTCCTGGGCAAGAGGGAAAAATTAGGAGATGAGCCAAAGGATTCTTGCAATAGTGGGATATTCTCCCTTCAGGGCTCTTAGAGCACAGGGAAACTTCTGTGAAGTGTTTTGAGACAGACGAGAGACTTGGAAGGAGCAATGATAAAGGAGTTAGTGGAATAACGCTGGAGATTCTTTCCACCCTTTGCCCTGGGCTGGGAAAGACTTTACCAGTAAGGGGATGAGGGCGGAAGGTGGGCAGGAGGTAACAATGGGCTTTGTTCCAACAGGCCAGGCTCTACAACAGTGCCTTATATTGAAGTGTACCTGGGCCGGACAGGGGCCAGCCCCCTCCCGCAGGGCCACCAGGTATCCCGGTTGGTCATCAGCATCCGCCTGCCCCGGCACCTGGGACTTCGGCCCCCGCTGGCCCTCCTAGAGCTGAGCTCCCGGGTGGAGCCTTCCCCTTCAGCCTTGTCTATCTGCCTTCACCCAGGGGGTGTCCCCCTGGGGGGCAGCTGCTGGGTGTTGGGCTGGAAGGACCCCCAGGACCGAGGTGAGAGCCCTGGGTCCTGGGGGTGAGAAGTGGCTGGAGGCCAGAATCCCTGGGACAGCCCTCTTTCCTCTCTCTAGTCCCCGTGGCTGCTGCTGTCTCCATCTTGACACCACGACTCTGTCACTGCCTCCATCAGGGTATTCTGCCCCCTGGGACTCTCTGTGTCCTGTATGCAGAGGGGCAGGAAGACAGGTGTGAGGTACAGGGGCCTGGGCATCCTGGTCTAGGGAGGGGAGAGGCAGTGCTGGGCAGCTGGACCCTGGAGAGAAACAGGGTTAAAATTCTTGGGCGCTGGGCCCTAAATGGGTATAAGCAGTGCTTCCTGGTTGGACTTTGGAGAGCAACCGGGGTCCTGGATTCCTAAGGATGGAGACAAGCAGAGCTTTGGACTGGACCCTAGGAGAAGGTGCAGGGAACCAGGACGAAGGGTAAGAGACCCTTTTGGCCTTGACTTTTACTCTGCAGGTGACCTCTGCGCCTCCGCTCCTGTGCCAGAGTGAGGGAGGCTCCTGGGTCCTCGTGGGCATGACTATTAGAGGGAGCCGGGAGCTGTTTGCCACCATTGGCCCTGAAGAGGCCTGGATCTCCCAAACAGTGGGAGAGGCCCATTTCTTGCCCCCCAGTGGCTCCCCCTACTGGCCACCTGAAGGCAGCAACCTCTGTCCTCTGGACATGGCTGGGGCCTCAGGCTCCACTCCTGCTGCTCTGTTCCTGCTGCTACTGACCTCCCTGATTCAGGGCTGAGGGGTCTGACTCCCTGACCACCAACCACCTCCCCTTCTCCTTCCCCACCCCCTCCAGCCCTCCATTTGCCTCCCAGTGGGGTTGGAATGTGACTTAACCGGCTTTCAATCCCTTTGCCAGAACCTCCAGAGCTTCCCACCCACCTACAAAGGCTTCAGATAATTGGGCCTCAGTGCCTGGATATTTTGGGCCCTGGAACCCTTGGGGGCAGCAAAAGTGGACAATAAAGGTGTAAACAAAGACACATGGCCTTGTGGCATTGCTGAGGGCAGGCTGGGGGGCTAGAGGGAAGCCCAAGGGATAGGGCCCCTCCCTCCTGGGCCTCTGTGAGTCAGGCCTTGGGCTCCCAGGAAATGTGTCCCTGATAACGTGGCAGCTGTCTCTCATTCCTGCCCCAGGGTGGGGGAGGTTGGGCCACCAGCTGTGTGTGTGTCACCTCCCCAATGGAATCAGCATCCCCAGCACCTGCTAGACACCTCAGCCCGAGCTCTGACGTTGCTGCCCCTCCCCCCAGAGTAAGAAGGACTGAGGGTGAGGGTCATAGAAGGAAGGATCCAGGAATCCGAGCCTGAGGTCTGTCTACAATATCCTATACCCACAGGGAGCCACCCCCATCTACACACCCTGATGAATGATGTCCCAAAGTATACACCTCCGGTGTTCCCAGGACACACATGACACTTGTACCCACCAAGGGTCCACAACTTTCACATCCTGCCCAGTGCTCTCAGGGTTGGAGTCCCCTCACCATCCTTGTATGGACATCCCTCTGCCTCACCCACCAATCTTGGCTCCCCTCCCTGCATTAATTCAAGCATGTTCCCGGCTAACTACAGAGTCACAGCACAGCTAGGGTCTGTGCTCCCTAGGTAGTGGGAACACACATGGACAGCCCTGGCTGGGGTCAGGAAAGGGCCACAGAGGTGACGTTTGAGCACAGAGAAAGAGCAAGTGGGGACCTGGGGAAGGGAGGTGCTTGCGGTGGAAGCCAGCTGATGAAGGTGGCAAAGGGGTCACCTCTGAGGCTGGAGTCAAATCTCTGGTTGAGTAGGCAGAGGATAGGGGTGGGGACACCTAAAGGGCAGCTGGAAGTTCTTCTTGGGAGACTGAGGAGATGGGCAGAGGTCCTTAAAGGGCCAGGCTTATCTTTAGCTGCCAGGTCCCAAATAGAATATTCCCCTGACTCTCCACAGGGACATACATCCCCACTTGCTCCCCCTACCCAGTCACCCATATGCCACCCCCACAAACATTTAATATACCCCATCTTCTATCCCAACACACCCACAATGCCCAGTGTCTTGCCCCCTCCTTCCCACCTTAGACCCCTTCGGAGTCAGCCTCCCTCTTCTCACCCACTCCAGAAATTCCCTGCCCTCCAGCCTGGGCCCTGAAGTCTTGGCTTAGGGGTCCAGACACCTAGTCTATGGAAGGCAGTGGGGAAGTGGGGTTCTATTTTTCTGAACCTTGAAGCCAACAAGTATTCGCAATTGCCCACAGATTTATCCGCTCACAGAGGAAGTGCCCCTGACCTAGTCACGCCGGCCTTCTTTCCCTGAACCTGTGCCACCTGCACCCTCCACCTGAAAGTGCTTCGCCTGAGCCACTCCCCCCGACCTTTGTTTTGTGAACACCTTTCCGTAACACCTTTTCTTTAGGTCTCAGTTCTGAAGGCATTTCCTTGAGGAGCCAGCCTATGTCAAGCTCCTGTAAACGGCTCCCCGAGCCCCCTTTCCCCCTTCTTTATCACAGTTGCTAGTTTGAAATTATTTTATAATTGTTTGTGTGAATATTTGAGTCAAGTCTGTCATCCCTACTTCAGGGTGAGCTCAGGGAAGGCAGGGATGGTGTCTGTTTTGTCTCTTGGGACAGAGTAGGCACTCAGTAAATATTTGTGAGATGATTGGCACTGCCAGACACGCTCACCCCACCTCACCACACAGATGAGGCTGCAAGCTCTACAGAAGGCTTGAAACAGCCCTAGCCTGGGGCAAACCCAGGTTCCTAGGCTCAGAAACGGGGCCTTAGAAGGAAAGGGGGTAGGAGCATCTGTGGCCCCAGGATAACAAAGGCTGAGCCAAGCCCTGGGAGGCATAACTGGTTTGGGAGACCTGAAAGACCTGGGGCCAACAGCAGCTGGGTGGCCCTCCAGGGAGCTGGGCCACTGGACTTTCCAATTTCCATCCCTGCCTGGGGCTGCTCTCTGGTGGACCAGCCGCCCCCTGCCCGCCCCCATGCGAGCGCTCAGGACGGGACACCCACACCTGGGGTCTGGGAGGGCTCAGGGCTTCCGAAGTGAGAGAAGTTGGCAGAGCTGAGCGGGGAGGGCGGGGCCAAGGGAGGGGCGGGCAGGTAGGTGCCTCGTCCCGGGAGCTGCCACTCTGGGAGTTTTCTGTGTAGGCAGGCAGTGCTGGAGACGTGTCCTCACTGAGGGCTGCCGAGAGTCCTTCGTCTCCTTTTGTGCCTGCTCCCTGCCTTTGAAACCAGCCTTGGACACCCGCTCCGACCTTCCCAGCGCGGATTCCAGCATCTCGTCCCTCTGGGCCGGTCACCTGAGTCTTGGCTTTGAAACCAGTCCTAGGTCCCTTCCCTTGGGTGCCCGGCGTCTCCCCAGGGGCCCTCATCCTGGGCCATGGCCCAGAGGGCAGGCCTGGGGCCTAGTCGGCTGGAGGCCGTGGCCATTCTGCTTTTGCTTGGATTATTCCAGTCCGGGCTGGGTGAGTATGGAGGAGGAGGGGGCACGGGGAGAGGTTGTCCTGGGCTCAAAACCCCCGGCTCCCTAGCTTTTGGCCTCTTTCCCTTCAGCTTTGACTCCTGGGTGGGGGGGCAGCTGTCCAGAGAAGTGGCAGGTGCTAAGAAGTCTCAGAACTTGAGTCTTCCCTGCTTACCCCTCCCTCTTTCTCTTGCCTTCCAGGAACTGCTGGGGCCCGGGCTGAAGGTGAGGCTTGGGGGAGGGGAGGGAGAAGGGGGTAGAAGAGGGGACACAGACTCCGATTCCCTTGGAGGGTTTAATGAGTGCCTGCCTCTCTCTGCCAGGCTGTCTCCCACCCGTAACCCTCTAACTTAAGTCCCCCCAATGGCTCTGTGAGATGAGGACTGTGGCCCTCGTTCTACAGATAAAGAAACTGAGGTACAGAGAAGTGATTTGCCCGAAAGCGCACAGTCAGTAAGTGGGAGAGCTGGGGTTTTGAGGGAAAGAAACCAAGGGCCTCCTTTCTTCAAAGGAATGTCACCAGACTCTGAGTCCTGGCTTCACCACTTACTGGCTATGCGGGTGGCAGGTCCCCTCAACTCGAAAATGCAGTTGATTATGTTTATCTCCTGGGGCTGTATGAAGAATCCTGAAGATAAAGGAAGTGAAAGCCCATTCAGGGCCTCGAGTTGTTCGAAGTCACTAAATAGTAGCTATTGTCATTATTATGAGGGAGGAGGAACCTGGCCGGGCAGTTTTCTCCGCTCCTGGGAAGGTGACTTTGTGAAGGGCAGCTGGATCCTGTTCCAAACAGCTAGCCTCAGTGGGGGCAGGGTGGCCTTCACCTGGACGGAGCCCAGGTGTTCTGTTCCTTTGTTTGATATCCGCATGCACGACTCCATCTTTGTGCCTAGCGCCCCATGCAGGGCACTGGGGATATGGGACTCTGCTCTGGCCCTTGCCTTTAGGGAGTGCCCAGGTTGGTGTGGTTGAAGCGCATGGAACAATCGTGTGATTGGGCAGTGTCAGGGAAGCCAGGCCCTGGGAGCTCCGGTGTATTGCCTGACTCAGTCAGCAGGTCAGGGCAGGCCAAGGAGGGGCTGCCATAGGCAAATGGAAGTTTGCCGAGCAAAGTAGGGCTGAGGAAAGGTATTCCAGGTAGTGAGCTAGATAAGCCAAGATCTAGAGGTGAGTGTGAGGCCCCATGTCTGTGACAGGAAGTGTCCAGGTAGATGGCTGGAGTAGATGGCACTGTCGTGGATGGTCTGGGATGTATCTTAAGGGCAGTGTGAAACCAGGGAAGGACTTAAGGGGGTGTCACCTGGCCAGACTTCATTTATAAAGGTCTTCAGACTTATAAGGGGTGGACTGGATAGAAGGCTGGACGGCCTGAAAGGAAGGAAGCTATAAGAGACCTGAATGAGGTAATGGGTCAAGGTGGCAAAACTGACCATGGGGACAAAAGGGTGGCTGACTTCTATGAACTCACTTCCCAAGTTCCACAGTAGATCTCCTGGGCTCTACTGGGAGTGGCAGGGCTAAGGATATGGTATGGGGGCCCCAGAACGGCCTGACCCCCCTCCCCTTCCTCCCTGGGCAGCCTATTGCGGTGTGGCCTCCCAAACACGCATCACAGGTGGAAACAGTGCAACCCCTGGCCAGTGGCCCTGGCAGGTCAGCATCATCTATGTTGGCGTTCATGTGTGTGGCGGTTCTCTCGTGTCTGATCAGTGGGTGCTGTCGGCTGCTCACTGCTTTCCAAGGTACCAACTGGGTTGGAGGCAGGGTGGGAAAGTCAAAAGTAGGCTGGAGGTCAAAATTCAGGGATTCATTTACATCAGAGGTTGGGTTCTTGGGTTGGGTCTAGGGGTATCAATCAAGTCTGAAAGAACAGTCAGGAGTGAAGGCCAGAGGTCACAGGTCACAGGATAAAACTAGGGCACAGTTTGGGATGACAAAGTTCTTTGCCTGGGATCAGAATCTGGGGTTAGATACCATCCAAGGAACCAGGACAGGTCTCCTGGGTTCTAGCCTTTGCCCCCACTGCTTGCAGGGAGCACCACCATGAAGACTATGAGGTGAAGCTAGGGGCCCACCAGCTGGACTCCTATACCCCTGCAGCCGAGGTCCGCACTGTGGCACAGGTCATTTCCCACACCAGTTACCAACACGAGGGCTCCCAGGGGGACATCGCACTCCTCCGTCTCAGCAGCCCTGTCACCTTCTCCCGCTATATCCGGCCCATTTGCCTCCCTGCAGCCAACGCCTCCTTCCCCAATGGCCTCCAATGCACTGTCACTGGATGGGGCCATGTGGCTCCCTCAGGTGAGGGGGGCACTAATGTCTAGAGGCATGGAGGGAGCCTGACTCAGGGTAGGAGACCCTGGCTAAGCATCTTTTGTCCCCACAGTGAGCCTCCAGGCCCCCAGGCCACTACAGCAACTTGAGGTGCCACTGATCAGTCGTGAGACATGTAACTGCTTATACAACATCCAAGCCAAGCCTAACGAGCCCCACTCTATCCAGCAGGACATGGTGTGTGCTGGCTATGTAGACGGGGGCAAGGATGCCTGCCAGGTAAATGCAGGGGGTCCAGTGGAACAAATGAGATGAGTGCATCTTGGGAAATGAAGGCTGACATGGGTGACTGGAGGCCTGGGGCCTGATCCTAATGGCTGTTGTATGGCTTTTCTCCTCAGGGTGACTCTGGGGGCCCACTCTCCTGCCCTGTTGGGGGCCTTTGGTACCTGACAGGCATTGTGAGCTGGGGTGATGCCTGTGGGGCCCCCAACAGACCTGGTGTGTACACTCTGACCTCCAGCTATGCCTCCTGGATTCACTACCATGTAGCGGAACTCAAGCCTCAGGTGGTGCCCCACATCCAGGAGTCCCAGCCCGACATCGAACTCTGCAGAAACCATCCGGCCTTCAACTCCACCCCAGACCAGGGTCTGTTAGGGCCCATCCTTTTGCTGCCACTAGCCCTGACCCTGGGCCTCCTCCACCCATGGTAGGAGCACTGAGCTTCTCATCCTGGGAGTTGACCCTGCTTCTAGGACTGCCATATATTGTGCCCAAGGACAGATGCCTATTCCCAGGAATGGACCTGGCCCCTCCTTGACACTCTTTGGGCCTGAGGCTTAAGTCATTCCTTCCTCCTAGGACCCTGTGGGAGTTCAGGGCACCATCCTGACGTTTGAGCCCATTCTCCTACAGTCTCTTTGGGACTATAACCCATAGCCAGGAATTTTACTGCCTGTGGTTCTGGCCAGAACCTCTGGCCACCTGCTGTCCATAAGCCTATTGGTTGGGCTCCTGTGAAGCTCCCAAGGAGCCTTAGCTAAGAAAATGGACCCTGGCTCTTATGTTTCTGGAAGACTGGACAGCTGCCCAGCTGACTGCTGCTAAAGGGCTGGCTTCCGTGCCTGACTTGCTCTGCCTGATGAGCCCCATCGCTTCACCCTCGTCTTCCGGGCTGGAGCTGTCTCTGAGCAGCATGTTTCTAAGGACAGAAAAGGCCCCAATCTTGCCCCATTGGCTGCCATGCCCCCACTGAGCCTTGATTTCTGCACTCCGGAGGACTGAGCCCCCACCGGAACTGGGCTTGGGCTTGGATCTGGGGTGGGGGGTAGAAGGAGCAAGAAGGAATAAAATGTTTTGAGCACAACTGGCTGTGCGTGTGACATGCCATGAAGACCATCAGTTCTAGGCTTCTCCCTCCCACCTCTGAAGTCCAGAGCCACCGACAGAACTTGCTTTATTAAAAAAATGATGAAACAGACTGTACATATTTACAGGCTAGGGGGCAAGGAGGTGTGGGTCCAGCAGCAGGGGCACAGGCCACTCACTTCTTGGAGAGTTTGACTTGCTTGTGCTTGGGGGGTGCCCACTTAAGGCAAACAGAGTCCACTGTGGGGAGAACAGACATGAGAGAGGCAGGGCTGGGCCTCTGGGCCGAAGCCAGGTTTCACCTTTAGGCAAGAATAAGGGCAGACTGAGTCCTGGGGAGGGGGCAGGGAAGCCCGGGCATGAGTAGCCTGCCCCAGGCTCCGGTCCTGGGAGCTGGTCAGACTGGTTTAGGATCATGTGACAGCAAAAGGAGACTGTGGCTCCCAGTAGTCCTTACACCTACCCCCTACCACACATACCCTAGGTAGCCCCCCACCTACCTGTTATGGGTGGTTTTTTATACTGAGCACTTTTGAGGTGTTCCTCTACCAGCTTGGGTGTGACACAGATGACATGCTGGCCTTTCCAGTACTTGACCATGTTGAGGGACTGTAGGGTGCTGATGATGTCATTCTGGGTGATGCTGGTCATCTGGCTGCAGAAAGGGATTGGAGCAGATGCTGGGAGAGTTCCCTTGGGGGTCTGGCTGGGACAGCAAAAGGGGACAAGGAGACAGGATCACGGCCAATTTAGGAGAATCTTTCCTTCTTGGAGAATTCCAGGAAGCCTCCCTCATGAGGTCTGTGATGGACAGCATGCCCAGGACAGGGTTGGGGTCCAGGGTCCTCACCTAAGGTCCTTGATGGAGAGTGTGCCACGGAAGTCTCGCAGAATCTCCAGCAGGACCCAAGACCAGTAGCTGCGGTAGCTGAGCTTGCCCAGGTCGGACAGTGGCTTCTCAGGGGAGCCTACAGTGCTCTCTAGCTTGGATAGCTCATAACCTGGCAGTGGGAGGAATGAGGGTCCTGAAAACCCAGCCCCACCCTGGTACTCTACCCCCACCACAGGTACCCCTTTCTGGACAGAACAGGAGCCACTCACTGAAAGCAATGAGGAACTTCCCATAGCCACGGCGCTGGTAGGGAGGCAGGGTCAGGATGCAGGCCACATTGTTTCCATCTGGAGACTCCTTCTCCTGCAGGGGTGAGAAGTCAGGGTCTCTGAGGAAGCTCAGCCCCTACTTCAGTTCATACTCACTGCCCTCCCTCAACCTCGACCCAGTACCTTAGAGAAGTAGCCAACGATGTGGGCCCCCTGCCTGTCCACCTCAGTCAAGATGTAAAAGACGAAGGGCTCCACGTCGAAGTACAAGGTCTTGTGGTCCAGGAAGAGCTTGGCCAGCAGACACAGGTTCTGACAGTAGATCTGAGGGGCGGGGGAGGTGGAAGCAGACTCAGGAAGCAAGTACAATGAGCCCATTGAGGCCTGGGCAGGAGCTGCCACCCTGCTCTGCAAATGCCAGGCTCCACAGACCAGCCGGTGCCAGGCCAGTGAGAAGTGCCTCCTCACCAGAACAGCAGCACAGGGTTTCCGTGTGGAAGAGTACCTGCGCAGTTCAAACCTGTGTTGTTCAAGGCTATGTCCCAGCACTTGGCACAAGGCTAAGCATGAAGCTGGGTGCTTGTTAAATACATACTTGATGAATGAATGGGCCTCAAACCTGACTCCGTAGCCTGAGCGGTCTGCCTGCTTGGCCATGCTCTCTGCTGAGCCTCGCCTGCTGCAGGCCTAGACACCACCTGGCCAGAGACCAACGTCAGGAGGAACAGTGGGACCTAAAGGTTGGCTTCATGGCACAGAATAAGGGTCCCTCTGGTGTATGACGCCTTTTATATCCACTCTCATTTGACCCAACAACTGTGTAAGCCCAGCATGGCTAGTCCCATTTACTTAAAACTGAGGCTCTGGGAGGGGAAGTGCTTGCCTGAGACCTCAAAGCTGGCAGAGGGTAGAGCCAGCAAGAATACCCATGCCTCCTGTTAGAGCCCTTTCTGCCACTCTCCCCATTGGTGCTCAAGAAGGCAGAGCAGTGGGCAAAGGCCGGGCTCAGAGTGAATCTTCCTTCCCCAAGCTAATTATCACAGGCTGACTGAGCGGCGACAGGTCACCAGTAATAACGAAGGCCCATTACTGAGCACCTACGTGGTCCAGGTACCATGGTAAGTATGTAAGTATGAGACATTGCTATCTCAGTTATTCCAACAACCCCATGAGGTAAATATTATCATGACTCCTGTCTTATAGATGAGGAAACAGGAACAACGTTAAGTAACTTGTCTAAGGTCAGCTAGGAAGTGACGGGTCATTTGAAGCCCAGAGCCACTCAGAAGCCTGTCTTCTTCGTCTTACACTCTAACTGCTGTTCCACAGGAAATGGCAACATCTGCTGAGACCTTCCCAGACTGACAGGGCAAAGGCCAGGTTCTCAACAACGGTGAAGCAGATCCCAGCCCCACCTGGCCCCACTAAAGTCCTTTTGCCAAGAACAAGGAACTCAGCCAGCAGAGCCACAGAGCTCTCAGACAGGAGACCTTACACAAGGCAGCTCCCTCCCAAGGAAAAACAAACACCTTTTCTTCAGGCAGGAAGAGAAAGCCCTTCTAGAAACAGCCTCAGGCATGACAATCTCCACTCTGGGTTCCAGAACTGCCCGAACCTAAACTACCCCGAACCTAAACTACCCCATCAGGAGAAAAGTCCTCAGGGAAAGAACAAAAACCAGTCCCCAGGCTGGCACCACAGGCCCACATGTTTACCACGCATCAGCCACAGGGCAAGTGCCAGGCTGAGCGTGATCCTGCAGGTCTCTTCCTGGCAGGGCTGCTTACCCTGATGACAGTGAAGACTGTCCAGAGATGCCAGTGCTCCCCCACCTCCCCACATCCACCACCTTGGCCACCCAGCTCACCTTGTGGTCTTTGCCATCCACCTCATACACAGAGATGTTGCTCTTGCGGTAGATCTCCTTCCCTGGGGGCTGCCGCCACTGACACTGACCCTGGGGTGGGGATGGGGAGATAGAGGCCTGAGATCCCAAGGTTCTCTGCCAGGTGCCCGCCATCCTGCCCTGTGTGCCTTGCAGCAAATCTCTGCTCCTCTGTTTCCCTCTATATAGATCCTGGGCTCAACACTTTACCCACATCAAGTAATCCTTCCAACCACCTGACAAGACAGAGCCTATTTTACAGATGATGAAACCAAGGCCCACAGAGGCTAGGTAGCTGGCTCGAGCATCACACAGCTGAATGGCTTGAGTCCATGTCAGCCTGGCTCCAGAGGACTGTGGAGGGCTCTGATCCGTGGCACTGGTGTTTCCCAAATTGCATGCATTTGCCTCAGGTTCCTCCCTTTGAGAAACACGCTGCTTGCTGCATGAAAGATGAGATGCCCCACCCTGGCAGCTCCTGTGCACCAGTGCCTCCCATCTGTCCACACCTTCCAGTCCCATCACTTGCTTCTGCTTTTGCACTGAAGAACCTGGCACTGGGTTGGCTTTGATACATATGTGGTGAAGGGCAAGGAATCTGAGGAAGGGGTAAGGGCAGGGATTACTGTCCCCATTCCACAGAAGAGGAAACTGAGGTCTGGGGAGGGGCAAGTAGGCCTAAGTCACTCCAGCAAGGATGGAACCAGGCAGGAATCCTTTGAACCTGTCTCTGTCTCCAGTGCCACAGTGACAGCGCCCTCAGCGGGCTGGCCTGCCTGGTGGCCTCACCAGGTGGAAGCGGTAGCTCTTCTCGTATTTCATGTATTTGAGGCAGTACTCGCAGAGCCAAAGCTTGGGCTGTTTCCCATAGTCTTCAGGGAATGGTGAGAAATACCAGGCATCAATTTCGTAGTTCCCGATGTGGATTTTGTCCACATACTTCACCTTGGTGATCTGTGGAGGGAAGTGGATGGCTCAGTCAGAGCAAAGAAAGCAGGGGGGAGGAGGAGCCCACAGTCAGGACCCCTGCCCCTGCTTACCGCCTCATGTTCTTTCTCCAAGGCTGCGGTTGTGGGGTCCATCTCTGCATAGGTCTGGGCAAGGAAAGAGCAGTGGACAGAGATGAGAAGTGGTGGTCAGGCTGTCCCTCTCCTATCCCAGCGCCCACCGTGCTTCCCTCCTGTCTTCCACATCCGGAATGACAATAACCACATAAATAGCTCACTTGTTTTACCTGGTTCTGAAGCTGCCTTGTCCAAGCTCCTCTCCCGCCTGCCCACCCATGTATCCCAGACGTCCGTGATGCCCAAGTTTGGGCCTTTTGCCAGATGAACAGGACTAGGATCAGGAAGCCTGGTTATAGTTCTTGGGCTGGTAAGAGCTTCAGCTTCACAATGAGATCAATCCAGCTCAGCCAGAGTTGTGAGACAGATGAAATAATGGATCCAGTGTGCCTGGACCTCTTTCCTGAACACCTGAGGAGATGCCTGCCCATGGGACTGCTCCCAGAGGTTCCTCCCACAGGCATATCAGACTTGAAATGTCCAGAAGGGAACTCATGCTTTCTTCCATGCAAACCTGTTCCTCCTCTTGGATTCCCCATCTCACTGGGAGCACCACCCTCAGTCCAAATGCCTGAGACCAATAATGAGCATGTCTTAAGACTCCTGTCTCGGCCTGGCATTCAATTAACAGCCAAGTCCTGTCAACTCTACTCCTTGAAATCTCTGGAATCAGTTCCTCTCTGATATTCTCTCTGTCCTACTCCAAATAGCCACTGCCACCATCCTAGGTCTGGACAACTAACTAGGTTTCCTTAGATTCCCAGCCTCCAGTCTCAGCCCCCCTGCAAATCTACACTATCATCCCTTCTTTTTCCAGCCTTTGTGCCTTTGCACATAAAGTTCCTTCCACCAGGAATGCCCTTCCTTATGCTATTACTGCCAGAAAATGCTTACTCAGTCTAGCAGAGGGTGAACCAGGTGACCGCGTGATAAGGCAGAGCTCTGTGA